CGTGGAGGTCTTAAACCAACATCTACCGAATAGCCCTTTGACGCTGATACTGCGACATTTGGTAGATGCAGAGGTGACAGATATTGCAGCCATCTGTCAGGCTATCCGTGATCTTGTCTGGACTCATCCAGGCTGTTCTCATCTAGCTTCTGTTGTCAGCATGACGGATGATGAGATCCTGGACAGATGGGAGAGGAACCGACGCACGGCTGCTGCTCAGGGTACATGGATGCATGCGTGCTGCGAGTGCTTGTTGAACGGTGGGATGGTGTGCCTTGCCTCGGAGGAGATGTGCATGTTCACCAAGGTCATACGAGGATTACAAGCAGAAGGATGGATGATATTCAGAACAGAGTGGTGTGTTTACTGTGAAGCAGAGGATGTTGCGGGCTCCATTGATGCAGTGGCCGTACGACAGAACGAGTATTGCATTCTGGACTGGAAAAGAACCAAGGCCCTTGCTTCCAAAGATGCTGCGTATGGACGCATGATGCACTTTCCCATGAACGACGTTCCTGATTCCGTCCTGTGGCACTATCGGGTTCAAGTGAACATCTACGCCTGGATCCTACGAAGATACTACGACATCAACGTGACAGAACTCAGGATAGTGTGCTTGCATCCGGACAATGCGCCGCAGCCACTCATCGTGAACGTGCCAATGATGCAGGACAAGATCGAAAAGCTAATGAGCTGGAGAAGGGATGATAGACAGCTCCAGATACACCTCTCCGCAGAGAGTGGAGATTTACGTGGCGGGAGTCAAGAAGGCGAGCTATCATTCTCGCAGATGTTGGATCAAGAGATGGACACTTATGAAGACGTACTTCCAGAAGTACCCAGTGCAGACGAACGATCTTCGAAGCGACACAAAGCCCAGGAATCTGTGGAGGGAGCTACTCCGGATAATGCAATGAGTCAGTTCATGCGAACGGATTTCGATATGTCATCCATCCCTGGTCAGTCCTCTGAGCGCGAATCTGTTGAAGGGAGCATCCTCAAGGAGATCGGCGGACTCGAAAGGATGATTACAGCATATCGGCCCAGTGCGGCATGGTCGACCGCCTTTCGTCACGTGGTTCAAGGGGCTCTAGCTGTCCATCAACTTCGGCTTCTGGATATCAGCCGGCGAGAGGAAGTCCTGTTCCTCGAGCTCATCGAAGGGTCCGGGAGACATGTCCGTGCCCACAATGGCCAATGTTTTTTCTATTCGGAACATGGCCACTGGAATGCTTACAAGGGTGTGGTTCCCCAAGGCACTCTTGCGCGATGTAAGAAGTTTCTGATCCAGTTGGAAGGCGTCTACGCGTTATTCGAGTCATCTGCCCTACGGAACAGTGAAGGCATCCTGCAGGCGTCTCAAGCTTTGTTGGAAAGACACTCTGGTTGCTGCGATAGCCTTCTGGCTGCCTGTGAAAGGGCTGCTACTTGTCGAATGCCATCCAAAGCAAACACTCGGGATGAAGGCGATGGGGCCGAGGACCATCGCAAGGCCTTGCCTTGGACGGTGGCAATGGCCAACACAATCGGCAAGCTCTATGTGAAGTTGCCGCTCGTTTCATGTAAAACGTGAGAAATGCTTCGTGTTGAATATAGAGTTTAACTGGTTCTATTTAGTTTGTGTGCTTGTCGGTGACAGCTCCCAGGCAAACCTCCTTGCTCAATGATAGTCTCATCAAGTACTACATTGCCTGGTGTTCTCTCGACATTCAGCCCTCTGGTGGCTTTTGCACCACCGATGCCTGTTTCACTTTCACGGATGCTGGGTTGCAGGCAGTCCCCAAAGCAGCAGCCAACGACGTCTATGTCTACCTTCCGCACAAAATGCTGGATCCGGTTGCGGATGACGTGCGGCAAAGAGTGCACTTGTTCTGGCAGACGACCTACTGGGACAACGCGAATGCATTCGAGGTCTTCATGGCCTCGTTCACTCTTGCTTTGCGTGGTGAGAACGTGGACCGTGCCTTCTGGGGTATAGGCGCAGGTGGCGTGGGCCAAAGTCTCCAGACAGCGCATTTGGAAGCCATCCTCGGAGAATACCACACTTGTCTCGACATGAACATATACTTTGTGGACGAGGCAGGAAGATGAACAAATCCTAAAACATCCATAAAACTGTAGGACATGAAGCTATACTAGTGGTTGTACGACAAGCTTGTATCTGAGACCATTACAGAGTACGCAGACAGGAGATGCGGAAGCAAGCTGCCAACATCGTCGGGAAAATTGTCGTGACCGGGCAAGAAAGCGTGCAGGGCTCCCGACGTCCGATGAGAGAAGACATCTACAAGAAGCACATTTCCGCCGACAAGGTGCCAGAGCGTCTGCCGTACGCCATACACACGGAACTGGTGGAACTGCGTGGTTGGAAAAAATTCGAGCTAAACACTGCTCCCAAGTTGCTCGACTGCAGATTGAGGTAATCAGGGCATAATGTCGGCAGCTACGTAATATTGTGATGTTTGGTTGATGTTCGACTGTAACTTAGAGCTCCTCTCTACTGGGCAGGTTCTCGGGAGTCACCGAAGAGACCTTGAACTCCATGTTTCGGCGGACGGCAGTATGCAAATACAAAAGCGTCTTCGTGGATGCGGCCCGCATCGCCGGCAAGGAAAAACTAGCTGCAGCGCATGGTATTTTTCCGCGGGATCCCACCTTAAAGGACTTCTTACGGGACGGGCCTGCTTGTTTGGTAACACTCCGTTGCTTGTGGAACTACGCACGAAGTCGCACCGCTTTCCAATGTCGTGATGTTCTGGAAAAGTATGCTGTTCGTGGTGGTGACGGTGGTTTGACTCTGGCGACGGTGCGGCGCAGCTGTGGTCTGAGTCCGGATGAAACGGCAACAGTCGATCCGCTGCACGAAGTTCTGGAATCTCTCACGTCAAAGAAGGAACCTTCAGGCGAGATTGGCGGGAGTAAGCCAGACGTCTCTCAAGCTCGAGACATGATCGCCGCTCACCGAGACGAAGAGAAGCAGACTATTCAACAGATCCGTCAGTGGCTTTGTGATGAGCGCAAAGACTGGTTCACAGTGCACCAGTTGAAGAGTGCCAAGTCCAAGTTCGCGTTCAATTTCAACAAGCAAGAGGCGCAGAAGGTCATTGAGAAGCTGACCGCGGAAGGCAAGCTGATTTCAGCCCCGAGTACGTTGCCAAAGGTTGGCCAGACCACGATCTTCCTTCCAACTTACCCGTGTGAAAAGGCACTTGGTGATGTTGTCCCTCTGAAGCACGACGAAAACCTCATCTTCACGGAAGAATACAATGTCGAGAATGTCTGTTCTCGTCTGGCACCGACCTCTTCGAGAAGCCTGAACTTGAAGACATTGGCTGAGCTCTACAGAAAAAGAATACAAGGTCCTTCCAGAAAGAAGGGTGCTCCCAAAAGAAGCACGAATGCGGACGTCGATGATGCCAAACTCCCACAATCACTCGAGGATATGATGAGCAAGGAACGCGCGCTGTACCGGGAGATCCAGGATGCAAAGCCAGACTTACCCGATGCGAACGACCGGAATGTGACTGTACAGCAGTCGTAATTCTACCCTATGGATCTTCGATGTCGCCGTTTCGTATCGAACGTTGGAGCTCAGAACTTATGTCGTCTGACACGGTCCATTTGCTGTCCGGATACTACAGATTACGACGTGATGGCTTCTATGTTCACTATTGTGGTTCAGTTATTTGACTTGGTCAAGCCCGCAGACTTTGACATACCCTCGTGGCGTGCTATCGCAAAGGACAGAGCGACTGTGTGCTCTACTAACCTGAAGTGCAATGATGCTCAGGGTAAGCAAATTCTTATGGAGGTGGCTAACGGAGCCTCGCCTGACAAGTTCGACAAGTTGAACAAGCAGGGCATGGCTTTCCTGAAAGCTCTGTCGAGTGAAAGCCGACAGTTGCGCTGGTTAGCATGTTCCCAGATGCCAGCAGAATACACTCAACTACGACGTCACTCCAAGAATAACTGGCCGGAAGCTAGCATATTCGCGGCTTGGTGGACTCCGGCGGAAGATCATATTCTACAGGTCATGGTCGAAGAGGTCCAGAAACATGGCTTCGACGGTCACATGTCCTGTCATTTTGATGGTCTTCTGATTAGCACTTCCATGATGAAGTCAGTCGAGATGGCAGCAGGAAAGAGCATGATCACAGTCCTGCAGGAAGCAATAGGGCGAAAGACTCCTTTCGATGTGGTGATCAAGGACAAGACGCTGCCTTCCTTTGACATGTACCTGTCCAACAAGCTTAAAGAGAGTGAAGTTGGTGCAGGTTTGGGAGGTTACCATGAACTCTTGACTGCCGTGTCGAACTCCATTCCAGCTGCGATGACCTTCCTCGGGGCGGACATAAAGCAGGTCATCGTGCGTCTGCGAAAGGAATCACCGTCGAACGCAAAGGCCGACAGACATTGTGTCCGACAGTATTCGGACTGGCACGGCTGTGGGGATCTGTACCTACTCCCGCAACATGCAGGCATACTAGACGTGACCAAGGATTTCCTTTTACATCTCGAGCTGCCAGAGTCATCCTTTTGTATGGGGGTCAAGGTTGTCCCGAACAACAACATTCTCGCTATGCGCGCAGGCAAGGTCTATGAGGGCACTATGGCAGAGCTAGTGGATCTACTCGAGTCATACCACGGCACGAAACAGACATTCTGTTTTGCTATTGCTTCGGAAGATCCAGACCTCGACGACACAGAGGTCCGGTTTCTTGATCTTCTGGCTGGCTCCTCCTCTGCATCTTCAGTCAAAAAACGACCTGCCTCTATCCCACATCAACAGGATCCACAGAATGAAGGCGAGGTAGATGTCGGCATAGAGCTACGCAGGCTGCTCTGTGATGAAGTGAAGACTGCAATTCAGGCAGTACGGACACAAGCTGGAAAGTCGTTTCCGCCAACGGTCTGTCCGTGTTGCCCCTGGAGACGGTTCGAGCGGCGTCGATGCTTGGTGGAGCACCTACAAAACCAACATACAGAATCCAAGCGCTTCTGTCCGGCTGGGACCAAGATGTTGCGGGTCGTGGCGGCGCTCTATGATCATGACCGCCTTCATGATCGAGCACCGCAACCAACCTTTCTGGCTAGGGCCAGTGAGCTCCTCCGGAAGACCGTCAAAGGCAACATGCCGTCTACTCTCAGCTTCATCGATAAATTCCTTCGCTGTGTTTTTCACTCAGACGGGCCGGCGTTTGTCACTATTCGATCTGTAACAAAGGCCACAGGTTTGCGTAGAGTGGGTAACCTGTTCTACGATCACGACTTCGCTGATGCATTCCTCCAAGCAGCGGCCGCTCACAATGCCTCTCTACACAAGATACAGGCATATTTCCTGGAAAGATGCACGAGGAATGATGGAAAGCTGGCATCGGTTATTCCTCGCGGCAACAATGGCTTCTGGACGAATGTCCTTGAAGACCTCATGGGGTCGCCTCTGCTTGAAGCATATACGGCAAAGCTCATGGACCGATGTGCACAAGCTGAAGAATTTAAGTACATCAGCCTGGATGCGACATTTAAGATCAACTTGAAGATTATAGGACAGGCAAACTTCCACTCTTCTGCATCGACTCGTTCCCAGGCCATTATCCCAGAGGACGAGGCTGCGTACCGAACCATGACATGCCGTGGCCGCACCGGCGCAACGTTGGCGCTATGTGGGATCAGATCTGAGAAGTCAAGCATTTTGGCGGATGCTTTGAGAAGCAGTTTTACAAACACGCAACGTGCACAGGTGTTGCATGTTGCATCTGATGCTCCCTCTGCGGAAATGTTTCAGACTTTGAAAGAAGTTCTACCAAATCTGCAGAGTCTGTCGCTGGACGCCATGCATATTGTTATGGTCTACGATCAAAATATGAACAACCGCCGGACCGCGGGGAGCAGATGGCTTGCTGTCATCATGAACAAGTTTCGCAAGCGGCACTCTTCTCGCACGCAGGCATCTTGGGGTGAGTTCTACAGCGGAGGCACTCTCGGATCAGCGCCGCAGGATGTCAGATCCATGAGAGATTGTCTTTCAGAGCCGGATATGTCTGAAAATGCAGCGAGAGAGCTACTGGAGAGACTGGATCCTGACACTCCCTGGCTGACGGAAGTCGACTTCCTCCAAGCCTTGGTAGCACACTTTTCATTCTTTCGAGAAGAACTTCGTAAAGTCACCTTTACAGGGGTTTCGCTGCATCGGCTCATCGTGAACGTCGCCAGCCCTGCCAAATTCCAGTGGCTTCTCAACGACACCAGGTATCGCCATTCCATTAATCGACAAGAGCTGGTGCTCCTGCCAAGTGGTACAACGTCTAATGAAAGTCTGCACCACGAGGTGAATGTGTGGTTTCGGGAAACTGCGACTTGATTGCAGTAGGCTTGAGCATAGCAATCATGTCGATGCAACCCGCCCCTAAGCAACCCTTGCTGCAGGCCATGATACACAAGGCGACCTTCCTCTTGAAACTTCGCTTCTTTCATTTCTTGAAGTTGTTGCTGCACAACCAAGCCTTGTATAGACCTTTGCAAAGGCAAGTCGCCCAAGGTGAGCTTGTTCCCAGAGCCATTCACGGCAACATGCGAACCATTATTCCTTACAAGGAATGGACTAAATGGTGTAAGAGCCTCCGTGTCCGAGGGAAGACTCCACAGAAGGCGGGCTTAAGTGTCGTCAAGCAAGCCGCGTCAGTGCGATCTGCGAAGCAGTCGCAGAAGGCGGCTACTGCAGGCACCTCGGCTTCTAGTCGGAAACCTCCGAAGAAACGTATGCCGGTCTTGCCTAAGGCAAAGGCCGTGCGACGCACTCCGTTCCGGCTTCGGGTGATGAATCCCGTCATCCGTCCCGGACGGAGGTCGCAGAGTATTGGCTGATGTGGAAAGCGCATCTATCCTTATGCATGTGTCATGAACGAAAAGTCGTTAGAATGCCGCTGTGACTTTCAGTTGTTCGTGAACTTGTATGTCTGCCATCTGTCGGTAAGTCAGCACTGCCACGTTCCATGATCTTATGCTGACGTTACACCGAATAAGAATGGTCTGCTGTGCAGCTGGCAGGCAATCCCCTGCGAGACTGCTCTCAAGGCCTGGTCAGCACTGTGAGGTCCGATTGTTGATGCCGCAGTGTTTCCGATTATGAGTACAAGACAGTTCCGATAGAGACCTAGAAGCTGAAACGAGTACAAGACAGATCCGATACACACACAGGGAGCTGAAACAAAGACTCCCAATTTGCATTGTAGGCGTTCGATGGACGTGGCGTACTGCTCATTACTGTGTTATTCGCGGGAATATCCTATTGAACAAATCCCCTAGTCTTATGTAAAGTGATTCACAGGTAGAATCAGGAAAGTCCAGACGACCGAACGACAGATTCCGAACCCACGTTTGAAAGAGTATGGATCTGTATCGAAGTCGATACTCGGAACCGGGTCTTATCTACATTTGACTTCTTCTTGCCTCATGTTGTGCGTGTAGCCATGACGCAACTATATTTATGTTTCTTGGTAGCTATGATTCCACCTCCGTGGTCTGAGCCGCTGATTTATGACAGGTCGAAGTCGATCGCATTGAAAGTTCAGGAAAGTCCAGTCAATGATGATATCACGAAGGAAGACGTTATACACTTGCCTTGAGTGTATACAGAACTATGTATGTTCGGTTCCTTGATGAATCGCGCTATGCGTGTAACCTTCACGCAACTACATTTCCGTTTCCTGGTAGTCAAGATGCGACCTTCGTGCTCCAGTCCGTCGGCTTTGCGACAAGTCGATCACATTGAAAGTTCAACACAGCCCCACCAATGTCGATGAGGCGAGACGAAAGATTCTATACTTGTATTGAGTACGTACAGAGATACGTCGGTCCAGTACAATAGTGATATACACGTCTCTAGTATGCAATGAAAAACCCACGGTTTCAGCTGGCGACTATATCCTGTTTAAGCCGGCCACGGGGGGGGGGGCCTGCTTGGCTTCAGGTTTCGAGGTTTAGGAGCTCTCGCCTTCCAGGTTTCGCCTTGGGGTTCGGAGGTTTCGGGCTTTGTGGCTTTGGCTTTGAGGCTTTAGGGTTAAGTACCCCACAGAGTAAGAGTCTGTAACAGGGCTACTGCTCAGGTCCTACGATATCTATGTTATGAATATGTTTCAACTATTACTGAGTGGGGGCCGTACCCAACTTTAGGGTGTCGTATAAGAGGGTGCCTATATCACCCCAAACACCAGCAAGAACCCTACCTACGTATGTCGAACCTAGACAAATTTTAGAAAAAAACACATACAACTCTTCAAAGAACCTCGCGAAAACCCCTAAAACAAGTTAAACAATCCTGTTAAACCAAAACCTCCTACAAATCGCTTAGAGCGCAGAAAAACCGAAACCCCTTTAACACACTCTATCCAACCCCCCAAACGAGACCCTATCTGAAGCCGCAAAACCCTCTAACCCTATGGTCTACCCTAAAACGCTAAAAGCCCTAAACCCTGAAACCCTACATAGAAGGCTTTAACAGTGAAAACCTGAAACCCAAAACCCTGAAACCCTAAACCCTGA